GCAGTTCTCGTACGTGAATACGTCGAAAAACGCGTCTTTAAAGGCTGGAAGGAAGCCTTCTTTGTTGATGTGGTAGACGCGTCGGCGTGCCAAGTCTCGTACGCGCTGAGAGTACTTCAGCTTCAATGGCGAAAAACACACTACGTCAAGTGGCTGAAGTATGTGCGATGAATGAGCAGGCATACAGAGGGTTAGGATCTTTTGTTTGAGGCAGTAGTCCTTAAAATCCTGGTTGAGGTGGCTCTCATGGCCGTCTAAGACGAGCAGCCTGTACGACCCTACCTGACGCGACTTTGTATGCTCATCAAAGTGCTTTAACCACTCAAGGCCAAGCTGATTGTTTGTCCAGCCATTCTCTGATACAGAGAGCTTCCAGTCGTACGGTATTGAAGTCTCCTCGTACCATGCTGAGATATGGACGCGTCCCTTGTAGATGATGAAGGGCGGGGTCGCGTACCCAGCAGCGCAGATGCTCTGCACGACTGTAACCCACTCGCGATCGCCTGGCTGGATCAAGTTTGGTCTTGTACGACGTTCTGAGCCTGTGACTACTTTCATTGAGCCAATGACGCCCATCTGGAAGCCTGTCTCATCAAAGTTGTGGATGTCGTCGTCTGCAATGCCATACTTGGCTACTGTCTCTCGGACGAGCGTGAACCACGCGCCGATAATCTCTGGATCTTCTTGGAGTATCCTCTGACGATCTTTCGCTCGGTTGAAGGCCATCTTAAGCTCCTCCGTACGCTGAACAAAGCGCTCTGCCCAGTTCTTGCCAACGGGTGTCCCACCACGTACAGCTAGTAATTTATCTGCGATATCTGCTACCTCTTGCAGCCGGGGGGCAAACCCTCGGGAATTAAGCTCAAGGATATATCGTACGATCGTTTGCTCCTCTGTTAAGGTAAGCTTCTGGATTCCAGGTCGTGTTTGGTGTCGATTTGTGATTCCGTGCAGCCGATCAGAGAGCCGCTGATGTCGTACGCTAAAGGCAGCAGCAGCGCGTCGCAGGGTCTGAAATTGGCCTGAGGTATAGGCCTGAAGAGCAAGATCAATTCTGCCTTCGTTGTACGATAAGTTAGGCTTCTTTTGAGATAGCATTGTAGTTCGTACATGGTGTTCGCGATGCCAAGAAAAAGTGGCCGGCTCACTGGGGTGGCCGGCTCACTGGTGCTTTACGTTATAGAAGAAGAGAACCTTTATAATTAGTAAAGAACTTTAACTAATAACTCTAAGAGAGTTTAAGACGCGTAGTAATAAGAAAAAGGTTAAGAAGAGAGCGCGTGTTAAAGTAGATAAGTTGTCTTAAAGACGCTATAGACACTATAGTAAAGTAGAATATAACTTGCGTACATGTAAGTAAGATATAGTAGAAGTTTCTGATTAATTTAGTCTACTATAAATATTAATTGCTATTCTAAATAGTACTATACAGTTGTATATAGTTATAGTTTTAGTCAGGTCTTAGCAAAAAGGTATTACTCGCTTAAAGGTTCCACTCGCTTATTATCTACGTTATAGTACTTATTACTATTATAGCGCTAACGCTTACTACGCAAGTAATTACTAGAGAGAGAGTTAAGTTATAACTATAATAGTATAATAGTAAGTAAGTTAATTAGAAGAGTAAGAAACTTACTATAAAAAGAATAGAAGAAAGGCTTGAAAGAAGTAGAGGTAAGATAAAGTAGCTAAAGGCTTAAGCGCGCAAGAGCTTAAGCGTAGTAAGTAGGTAAGTAGAGTAGAAGGCCTAGATAGGCGGCTTAAAGAGCTAGACTAGAGACTTAATACTTTTAATTACTATATAAGAGAATTGTATAGTATAATAGAAGAGAGAAGAATTAAGAGCGCTGTTATTATTAATAAAAGTCTCTAATTATAGCCTAAGCGCTTCTATGTACGCTATAATTGCTAGATTACTATCAAGGTAATAATTATAGAGATAGGGAGTAAACTTTACCTAAGAAAGATTAAGAGGTAGGTAAGAAAACTAGATCTTACTACTTAAGAACGCGAAGATATAGAGCTATTATTTATTTTCTCTATAATTATAAGCTAATTTCTAGTCTACTAAGATTAATTTCTAGCTTATTAGGCTCTAATTAAATAAATAATCTCTTACTTCTATTAGTGTTAAAGCTAGATTAGATTATAGTTTAACTATAACTAACTATACTACTCTAGGCTTTACGATCTAGACCCTAGAAGAGTAAACTAAGTATAGTAACTACAACTAGATTAATTTAATTAGAATAGATTAATAAATCTTACTATTCTAGAGTGTGTTAGAGTAGGAATTTATAAATCCTTACTCTAATTACCTAATTGCGATAATCTAAGCTACGTAATTGCTTAGTAAGTAGATATATAGTAGAGAATTTTATTCTAAGTTCTCTTTAGTAGGTTTCTAATTAATACACTTATTTTAACTAAACTAATTAGGTCTCTCTAGCTCTAGAAATATCTATAACTTAAACAAAATAGGCTTTATAATAAGTATAATAATAGCTTAAGTATTTATTATATTATCTAAGTGTTAAGAATAACTAAAGATAGTATAGTAGAGTAAGTATAATTAGGTTGTAGCTATCTAAGGCATTAACGCGATAGCGTAGGTAGTTTTACTCTTTATTAACTTCTAAGGTAAGTACTACCTCTTAGCCTAGTATAAAGAAGAAGTCTTACTATAGAATTAAGTTATTAGAGTCTCTAAAAATAGCTAGATAATAAATAAGCTTAGTAATAAGTAGCTAGAGCACTTCAATATGTATATAAAAGAGAGGATTATTAGTAGCTATAATCTACTAGTTATTAATAGCTATAAAAGCTATAACTTAATTAATTTCTACTAGCTCTATAAGAAGAAGAAGATAATTACTCTTTATATACCTACTTAATATTAAGTGTTTTGCGCTACTAAAGAAGGCGTATAGGTACTAAGCTAAGAAGCTATTATAATAAGATTACTTATATTATTAAAATAAAGTTCTAACTATACTTTATTACTACTTAGAACATCTTAATTACAAAGAGTAATATTCTAAAAGGCTTCTAAGCTACTAGCTTAGTTCTATTTAATCTAGAGGCTATAGTAGTATTACTTAATATCTACTTATTATAAAGGTTATTCTAAGATAACCTAAGATGTTAGTTCTTAGAAATAAGTAAGCGAAGTAGAACAGAGTTAGTGTACTAGCACAATTAGTAGATTAATATAATAGTATAAGAGTATAATAGCATATTTAGTAAAATAATGTAATATTATAAAAAGTTAAGAAAGAAGTATAATTCTTAGATTAAATACTAGAGTCTTATATAAAGTTAAATATACTAAACTATAGAGGTATAGTGTCTAAGCTATATACTTATATAGTAGTTATAGTAACTTCTAATAATAGTAAATATAACTTTCTAGTAGTAGTTATAATAGTTATAATTACTTTTAGTAATAGTTCTTAGCAAAGTAAGTAATAACTCTTAGCAAAGTAAGTAATAACTCTTAGCAAAGTAAGTAATAACTCTTAGTAAAGTAATTAGTTATATAACTACTAATAGTTATTACCTTAAAGAGTTGTTATTCTAGTTCTAAGTTGTGTAGCGCGGTTGCAGCGTAGTTGTAAGCGTTTTGACTCTAGGTTATAACACTTATATACTCTACTATTATCTACTATTAAGAATAGTCTCTAGTAGTTATAAACTCTAAGTAATACTCTAGAATTAGAGTCTTAGATAAAGCTATTTCTTAGGAGGTTTTAGAGGTATATAGATAGCTTACCTACTTTAATAGTTAAGATAGTAAAAAGCCTCTTAAAAAACACTAAAATAATAGTGTATACTTTAGTATTATTCTAAATGCGTATTACTAAGCTTAAAGTAGCTAATAAGACTACTACGTTATATAAAGTATATAAAATAAAGTAGATATAGTAAAAAGAGACTCTTATAGTTAATAATAGTTAGTAACTATTAACTCTAAAGGAATTTAGAGTACGTAGTAATAAAAAAATAGTAATAAAGAGAGTATATAGTAAGGTAGGTAAACTATTAAAAAGACACTATAGACACTATAGTTAGATAAAACATAACTTACGCACCTATAAGCAAGATGTAGTAGAAGTTTCTAATAAATTTAGTATATTATAATTTCTAATTATAGTTCTATATAGTTCTACACTACTATGTATAGTTGTAGTTTTAGTAGAGTCTTAGCAAAAGCTAGCTTCTTGCTTATTCTAGCTACTCGCTTATTACCTACGTTATGCACCTACGTTATTCTAAGTTAAAGACCTATTCTATTTATATCTTTTGTAACTATGTATTTGCGCTAACACGCTCTTTTAAATATCGCCCGATTTAAAAGAGTAATATTATATAATTAAGCTCGAACTCTATAATTAACTATAGACATTTTTCTTAAAAATATGTCTAGAGCTGTGATTTGCAAAAGAAGAGGTGATAGGTACGAGGATCTATAGAAGTGATGGAGCGGGCCTTGATGCCAAGATGCTACCGTGCACGGCCGCGTAACGCCCAGGAACGCGGAAGGCGGTACGGTAGGAGCTATGACCAGCCGCTGTCTTATTCTCATCACCTTGCATAATGTCTCCGAACGTAATGTGCATGGACTATCTCTCATGCTTAAGGGACCCTTCAACTGCAGCTCCAGCATTCTTGCTCCAAAGTCTACTTAACCTCAGCGCAGGCCCTCTCCCAGAAAAGCTGATCCGTGCCACTCGTGGCAATGAACTCTCCCTGCTCGAGCGAATCCATAAGATACGCGCAATTTCCAAGTTTCGGGTTGAACAAATAACTCTTGCATACCGCTTCGGCCAAACATAGCGTCGCACAAGTCAAAACATCCGTCGTATCGATCAAGTTGAACGAAGAAGCGTAGTATGCCTCAACATTAGCGAAGCCCTCGACGCCACACGTGGTGATTGGAGATGGGCTGGGGGAAGGAATATCGCACTTTCCGAATCCAGCTTGGCAGCCTGTTGCACAGAATGCGGAGGTGCTTCCACTGCGAATTGATGTTAGTATGAGAGGGAGCGAGAGAGAAGATTGAGAGCTTACCACCATCCGTAGGCGCTGCAGCAATCGCCGAATGAAGAGCCTAGGCATGTCATTCCGTTGCCACAACTTCCGTCGACGGAGATCTTCTGAGTGGGTGCTGGTGTAGCTGCCGAAGTTACAGTTGGAACTGCAGTCGTGGACAAGGTCAATGGAGATGACGCCGCTCCGCAGTCTCCAAAGGCTGCATTGCAGCTAGTGCCGCAATGGTCGGCCGACGTTCCACACCATCCATAGGCGCTACAGCAATTGCCAAATGAAGAGCCGACGCAGGTGAAGCCAAAACTTCCGCCGCAAGTTCCATCAGTGGAGATCTTTCTACCCGTAACCGGGGCCGCTGATACTGCGGGTGCTGCCGACGATAGTACGGGTGCTGCTGATGAGACTGCGGGTACTGCCGATGACACTACGAGTATCGTCGAGGATACTGCAAGTGTTTTCGATGACGCCGCAGGTGCTGAGGAAACAATAACCGCGGGCACTGAAGGTACTGGCGGCTTGCAGTCTCCAAATTTAGCCTGGCATCCAGTTCCGCAGTGTTGTGGCGTGGAACCACAACGTCCATTCTTAGAGCAACAGTTTCCCCAAGACGAATTCTTGCAAGTAAGCGTGTTCCAGGACTGTTTACCGCAAACACTCGAGGTGCTGACGCGCAACGCATTGACATTAAGGAATAGAAGGGCCGGAACGGCTAATGATATCGAAGAACGCATCGTGTAAAAGGACCGTCGGAACGAGTGACTTGGGTTAAAAACAGTCGGCGAATAGGGACGCATTACTGGATTCATGAGAGGGAGCGACCAGAATTTATTACATTGTGGATAGGAGACATCTAAGCAAGGGCTGACTCGTGAAGCGAAAGTGGTGTTAGAGTTCTCTCGGGCTAGACCTGATGGGCACAACGCTAGGCTATAATTAAAGCTGCCAAGGCTATTGCTTCCCCACAAGGCTGAAGATGGCGTGCATCTTGATGCGCAATAGGAGCTCAACACTCGTCGCTTTGCACCTGGAGTTGCGGAGTTACCGTAACGATGCATTTCGCGGGGAGACACAACGCCAGTGTAGGATCGAACTCTATCTAGCGACCACCTAACATCCAACTTGCTTATTATATTTTGCTAATTAGTGGAGTAGAAGCTTATCAGGAGAGAGTACATATTTGCGGGGATTAACATTATTTATATAGCCTTCAACCTGCAAGACATAATAGTAGCACTCTGGCGTGCTAATTTGTCAATCAGCACTTTAAATTAATACATTCTGTTTCAACTAATACAATCAATCATAGCACGCAAAAAATAAGGCTTCCCGTCTGCTTAGCCATATACAAACAGTGTACCGGCGGATTAGTAGTTAGTTAGGTGACCACTAGCGAATCCCCGCTGTGGTACGTTTTTCTTTTTTCTTTCTCAACTCTTTCAAACAGGGCGGTTCACCCGCGGTGTTTGCCTCCCTCGGGCAGAAGAACAGATGCACGATCAAAGTTCATCGCGCCACTAATATTCAGCATGTCAAACCTTAGCGGACTCTGTATTGCTGTTGGAACAAAACGAACTGGCCGCGCTTTTTGGATCGCCTGCACCATTGTACACAGCTTTTGCAGGCTACTTGCAGAGCTTCCGCGTGATTCCCTCACCAGCCTCATCGCTCGTGGCGCTGTCAATGCTATCGGGCGCTTCACCTTTGTCGACCCAATCGACCAAAGCAACCATAGCATTAGTGGGGACTGGGCCAGTGCCTCCAAATCAAGAAGCAACGCAAGGCGATAAGAATACTCAATAGAACTCGTCAACTTCTTCAACACCTCCCATCCTATGCTCCACCTTCTCCCGATATACAAACATGATCTTGTAGGGAATAATAGCATCAGTGAGACCATGCCAGGTTACCATCTTGATATCCGAGTCGCGGAGAGCAGCCAATTCGACTGTTCCAGCCTCCATAGACTACTGCCAGTCGTGGAAGGCCTGTGTCCACATCGCGAAGTAACTTTCTCGTGATACCGCAGAGAAACTGTTCCAGGTAGAAGAAGTACGTTGTGGATTAGTGGGAGGCCATTTGGGTTTATTGATATTACGCCATCATGGGATATGCTTATGTTTGCCCTGGACAAGTATCCCGCGCCAAGCGCAAGACCATGTCAGACTTTGGCGCCAAGGGATTTTTTTGGACCTTCCCTGATCTAGCGTGCAACATCAACCATTTGCGATGTAACTTTGGCAGGAGCCTCTCCATCGCATTTGATCTGGCTGCTAATAAGCTGTGCAGGGTCGTGTTTGTAATCCTCTGGGTCGATAAGTACCCTATCCTCGTATCTATCTAAGGCGTCGCATTTATCCATAAGTGTGCCTTTAAACTAGTTAAACTCGCATTATAATAAGTATAATTTAGCTACTATTACAAACCTAAGAACAGAGTCTAAAGGTCGTTCTAAGATAACCTAAGATGTTAGTTCCTAAGAATAAGTAAGCAATATAGAATAGAGTTAGTATACTAGTATAATTAGTAAATTAATATAATATTTTAAAAGTGTAATATTATAATTAGTAGATTAATATAATACTATAAGAGTTTAAGAAAGAAGTATAATTCTTAGATTATATACTAAAGTCTTATATAAAGTTAAATATACTAAACTATAGAGATATAATATCTAAGCTATAAACTTAATAAGATTTATAGTATTCAAAAAGTTCTATATTATTCTATATTTATAAATACGTAGTACTTATAGTATATTATAATATACTATAAGATATATATAACATAATTCTATTCACTCTACGCCTAAGAGGTAGAGCCTATAGTATACTTATTTTAGAGGTACGTAATTATTACGTAATAACTTAATTAAGCAATAACGCGTTACTATATTAGACTAGATAGCAAACATAAAAATCTCTAACGTAAGTTTAGATTTACGCCTTATAACTTTACACTACATTCTATAATTACTAAGAAAACTATTTTTACACGCGTAATTAAAACTCGCTCTATATTTATTTTAAATTACTAATAGTTCTTTAGGTTATTAACTAGCACTAACTCTACTTTTATATAATTATATTAATACTTAAAGAATTTCTAGTTTATCTATAGTAGTATAAAGCTTTTAAGATAATCTAAGATATCTTAATAATACTTATATAGTTATAAGTAACTTATATTTTATACGTAATATTCTAGTAGGTCTAATTATATAAGTAGCTATATTACGCTATTTCCTATTATTTTAACTATCTATTCTACCTCGTATACTTTATAATTAATACTCTCTTTTAGTAGTTAGCTTATTAGGTAATAATTATTTAGTATTTATTAGTATAGCCTAATACTAAACTATAATTCTATCGCTTTCTAGAGCTAGTAAAGCGCTACTTACTTCTAGCTAATAGAAATATTATTATACGTAACCTTAATAAACTTAAGCTTTTTTTAAGTTACTAGTATAACTACTAAACTAGCTAGTTTCTTGTCTAGTATTAAAGATTAACTATTCAATTTTTCTATAATTATCTACGTAGTAGAAGAAAAGAGGTCTATATAAATAAGATACTATATAGCTATAATATATAAGCTTATAAGGCGTTTTTAGTCTAAGTTAATTACTACTATAATTTTAATACTATTATATTTAGAGCTCTTTACTAGCTCTATTCTTATAGCTAAGGTCTTTAGGCCTACTATCTTAGAGTTTCTAGTAAGAACTAGAAAGTTAAATAAGCTACTTCTATAAGTAGTAAGTTCTACTATAGTGATATATTCTATTACGCTAATAGCCTAAGTATTCTTAAGAATAGAGGCCTCTATTTTAAGTAAAGAAAAAGAGTTTATCTATACTATATATTCTTAGTAGTTAATAGATATATTAGTAAATATTTATATCCCCCTAGGGCCTAAGAGACAGGGCCTATAGTGTACTTTTTTTAGAATTACGCAATAACGCGTTACTATATTAGACCTAATAGTAAACTTAAAAATCTCTAACGTAAGCCTAGATTTGCGCCTTATAACTTTACGCTACATTCTATAATTACTAAGATAACTATTTTTACGCGCGCAATTACAACGCGCTCTATATTTATTCTATATTACTAATAGTTCTTTAGATTATTAACTAGCACTAATACTAGCCTTATGCAATTAAGCAACACTAAAAGAAAACCTAGTAAGTCTACCCGCACTAGTATAAAGCCTAACCTAAGACGCCTATATAACACCTATAAGATTACTAGTAACTTATATTCTATGCGCAATTACCTATAAGCCTAGCTATATTAGTAGCTATATTATATAACTACTACAGCTACTATCTATATTTACTATTATCTACCTGCCTATTCTTTGTCTATACCTATAAGTCTCTAGGTCCTTTACTATAGCTATAAAAATAATAAAATGCTATACTTAAGATTATATATTACGTAAATATAGTAAAAGACCTTTAGCTTCTACTTCTTATAAAGGTCTTCTAGAGTAATCATAATAAAGTCTTTCTTCTAAGCTATTATTAGAACTTATATATTAAGAAGTTTCTTCTTAAGATACTAGAGTTACTATAACTATACTTTTATAAAGGCCTACTTAGTAGCTAAAAAGTCTAACCTCTATTTTATAAGTACTGCGCCTACTAAGAAGATAATAATTACTAATATAGTGTTACTATATAGCTTATCTAAAAATTTCTTATTATTAACATTAAAGTTAGTACTATAAGTATAGCTAATCTAGCTACTAGCGTACTTTAGCCTAACTCTTCTATTAAGAATAACCTCCTCTAGTATATTACTTAGACTATAGTAGTAGTTATTTGCTATTTTCTAAGTAGTAGGCTATAACCTACGCTTAGAGTATATATACTTAAGTATTAGACGCAACTTATAGTTTATATTAATTATATTATTATTAGTATTATTATTAGTATTAGTATTATTATTATTCTTAGAATTAGTATTAAGATTAGAATTAAAGATATTAGATAAAGAGAAGTATTTTAGGCGCGAGAGAGGGGTTTTATACTCTTATAGCTACGCTCTTCTAACTCTAAACTAGACTCTTGCGGAAATCTCTACACTTATAGCACTATAGTTTATCTTAATCTTTAACTGCAGTTTACTCTTAAAGCAGCACTACTATAGTTTAATGCTACCTCTACTATAGTTACCTACTAAGTTCTATAGCTAATAAAAAGGCTTCTATTTAATATTATACTGCGTTTCTATTCTTAGCTCTTCTACTAATAAGAGCTACCTATTATTACTATTAGCACTTACCTCTATAGCTTAGAAAGCTTATTTCTACGTTAACTTCTAGATAGAGGATATTTTAATATTTATATAGCCCTTTAGACCTATAGCTTGCCTATTACTACTTCTTAGCCTACCTTTAAGTCTACTAGAAACGCCTCTATTACTATTACGCTTATAAGCACGTTATTATTAAAGCACTAGATTTATAGTAAATATTACTAAGAGAGAGCTTTATTAATACTTATAGCTATATATAGTAAATATAAAGTGTTTAGAAAATATACCTATATTAAGATTACTATATAGAGTTACTAACTACGTTTTGTTACTCTTCTATTCTATTAATACTCTACTATAATAAGATATTTAGAAAATACACCTATATTAAAAACAATATATTAAGTTACCTAAATACGTTTTGTTACTCTACTCTATATTAACACTCTACTATGATAATAGAGTACTTTAGTCTAGATTATTCTAATTTAGGTACTTATAGTACAGTATATCTTATTCAGAAGTATATACCTCTAATACTAAAGAGTCTAAACTATAGTAGACTATATTCTAAAAGATAAATTAATATAAGTAAAAAATAGAGCGTAGTTAGTACTATTATAAATAGAAAAATAATAGCTTTACTTACTAAGTATTATAAGCTTACTCTTAGTCTAAGTATATAGGTAGCTAGTATAGAGATAGTAAGTTTAGCGTATCTTTATAGATATATACTAGTTACTAGTAAGTCTCTATTTATAAGGCGCTATAATAGGTTATTCTAGAGTATTCTAGAGTACTAGAGACTATAGTAGAGTATTAACTATTATTATAGTTTTTAAGAGGTAATACTATATAAATTAGCCAAAGGCTATAGTATTTTAATCTAAGTTATTCTAAATTACTCTTTCTTAGCTTAAACTCTAGTATTCTTATCTACTAGACTTAGAGAGACTAAGCTTATAATTTTAGTTATTAGTAGTAATAGTAGAGGTAGGTAGAAAAAAATTAGAGTAGAATAGTAGAAGATACTCTAGAGTATAGATTATAAGCTAGTTCTACTCTAGACTCTACTACCTACTAGGTTTTCTAGAAATCTTACTACTCTTACTAAGTAAAATAAAATAATAAAGTTCTTTATAATTTCTCTCTTTTTAAGAGCTATCTATTTAGACTAGATTAGTTCTTTTTAAAAGAGAAGATAATATTAGATCTTAGCATAGAATAGGCTTAACTAGACTAGATTAGCCTAGAAGAGCTAATTATAGAGTATAAGTATCTAAATATTACTACTACTTCTTAATAGTAATTTGTCTCTAGTCTAGTAGAGGAATATATAGAAAATTACCTAGAACTTATACATCTAGTATCTTACTATAGTATAGTTCTAATAGTAGCTTAGATTATTCTTTAGTCTAAGGTTTAGAGGTTTGGTCTAAGTGTTATTTAGATACGTTAACTACAAACTATACGCTTATACACGTAAATAAGATATTATTAAGAATTGCTAACTACGCTTTAGCCTATTACATACAATTGCAATTATAGATAATTTAACTATGCAATAGATTAATAGAGCAATTACACCTATTTCACGTCGCACGTCGTTAAGCTGTGTGTGTCGCAAATACAGCAGAGAGCTACATGCCTCGTGCCTTGTGCAACAGCGCAAGCATCTTCCGCTTATACAATATCGTTATCACCTCTAGACCCTATTAAGGCGTGCCGCGAGGTAAGGGGGCAAACACGCGACTAGTTCGCGTGGGGTGGACGCTTGTCAGGAGGTCCGCTATAAGCATCATTCGTGGTGCTGTAATTGGCTGGACATGAGGGGTTTAAACTTATACCTGTACGGACCTCCGACCAACAACAAGATGTTCAAAGCTCACACAGTAGTCCGCATTCAACGAGGTAGTTTACAATGTGTTGATGTCCTAAGATATGGAGAAGAACATACGGCATTTAGGTACCGTGTCATGTCTTGCCGATAAATTACCCTGCAGAAACTCGCTAACACTACGTTGCGCACCCGATCAGCTCGAGCGGTGTATACACGCTCCCTAAATGGTCAATGCTCCTTCACCTTGAAATTCAGCTTGATGAAATGATTTCCCAACCTTGGAAGTATCGTTTCGACGAGATACCGTGTACTGCGAACATTACAACTGTTCTTGGCTGCTTTCATTGTCGCTTCTTCGCTCGGAGCGCGACCGTCGTCTTCCACTACTTTTAATGGGTCCAGCTTATCTACCTTGCAGCAGCAGCACTATTCCTGTGAGTCAGTGCTGCTGTTGCTGGCGTCGTGGTACGACTTGTCGCAGAAGTTGGGTGATTCGAGTCGCTGGTGAAGACGCTGGAGCCAGCAGTTGGTGTTGCGGTCCCGGTAATGGTTTGCGGATGGGTGAAAATGGAAGAAGGCGAATTGGCCCGTCCAGACGCATTGCCCAACATAGGTGTCCTTCCATCCAACGATATACTCGAACTATTATTCATGCGCAGACGACCGGCTGATGCTTGAGCCGAAGTCTGCTCCTTGGTAGGTTTGATTGGTGCTTTCGCTAAAGCGCGCTCTCATGCATTCTCGCTTCTTGTGCGTCGTTCTTCTTCTCCAGCCGCAAGGTAGTGTGCCCCTTTTCCTTCTCTGCGTCCAGCTATGGTCGTGTTAGTGTCGACAACTTGCTGCCTCCTTAGGGCTTTGTCAAGACTTACCAGAGTTTTGAGACTTGTGATGCAAAGGTATTGCTATGGGCTGAGGGTGAAACATCTGATTTTCTTGGACGAATGAGTTCCCAAGATACACATTATCTAGCACTATCGCTCACTGAACCGCTTTTAAGAAGCGGACTACCTGTTAGGGTTACTTTAGTTTGATACCATTACTGAACAGTGATAATTTTAACAACGAGATTTGTGTGTATACTATATCGCTCGCAAGCCCGCAAGCTCGCTTCGCACGTCAGGATTCCAGACAGTTGCACAAAGGTATTGAGATTCTCACGGAATCCCCGCAATGTCCGAGGGCTGATGCATTCCTACTGTCTGCGCCGTATCTTCAATAGGCACCGACCAGGTGACTCTCCTTTCGATAAACTGTTCTACCTGCGGCCGTAACTTGGTCTCTGCTAAAGTGGGATCATCGACAGTGCCAGTGCGCAAGATCGTCATGTCGGGAAATCGAGCGCCGCGACGGTACATTAAAGTCCCGCATGTCTTGCAAAAATGGTTCGTCATTGTTGCGTTTGCCCGTACTGTAGTAGCCTCGTTGAAGGTCGCGAGATTTTTCTCACCACGAACGTGCTTGAGATGTGAGTCCGCCACGGTGATGTTAGATTGGTAAAAGGCAGAACCAATCTTGCGGCAGTCGAGGCAATGACAAACATGACGGTTTATCAAACCAGGTTTCTGGAGTGGCTTTGGATATGTGTTAGCATGCGCAGTCTATGATCAGGAGTGGTAATATGCAAATGCAAAGCAGTATCGCAGCAGACTTCACATGAATAGACTAACCAGAACCACCTGCACAGCTCCACAAAAGCACGTGGCAGTAGCTTCATCCTCAGTGGACCATCCGTCTTTGGAGAGATGGATTACAGAGAAGCCATGGTCGTTGAAGGAACCCATGGCTTAGTGTTGGTGATGATTCTTTTTGTTGCGGGATCGTGATACAACAACAAGAAAGATAGGAGAGTGGTCGCTGGTACCGATCGAAGACACCTGGACTTGATTCGCACAGAGTAAATAGAGTCAAAGACTAGTTCTTATCTGCGTAGAGATATAAGTTCGTTTCTTCAGAGTGATGAAGCTTCAAAAGTGAGCCTCGTGTTATCTAGAGGGTAAATGCTGCGGAGGCTTTTCAGGTTTGGGATCTAGTGATGTCATGTTCTAGGTCTAGATCCTTTTCGGCGAGGTATTTTCCGGTAATGTCAGATATGTCGTGTAGCTCGCTTATATAGCGATACGACTTCGTGGATTGATTTGATGAGGCTGCCCCACTCTACCCCACATAGTCCAACACACGGCGACCAAACCCCGAATGTAGGACGCCACATTAAGCACACCAGCGAGACGGTACGCGTATCGGTATTCTTGTAAGAGAAGATTGGTCGCTACATGCAGCCGAAGCAGTCAGACACAGAGAAAAGTAGTAACTAAGATTACGTGTTATTGGATATCGCCTCTGCGACTCTTTATAAGAGCTAGAACAAAATCTAAAAGCCAAACTACTCCAAGGGACGTAAATAAGGAAGTGTAGCTAGACAATATATTCTCTTAGGAGGAGTTGTAGTAGCTAATTTGTTAGCCGTGGAAGCTCGTAGCCGCGTACAAGACGTACACACTGCAAAACTCGTGTACGCAGGTAGAGGCGTCGTGGATGTTGCGGCAAAATAAGCCATAACATATGCACTAACATGCTGGAGAGTAAGGAGATAGTTGGCAGCTATACTTCTAAGTAATGAGGCCGTCGATATCGTCTCTTGAAAACTCTTTCATCAAGTTGTAATGAACAAGATTTCGGACTTTGTACGCAGGTACTAATACAATTTCATGATACGTAACTAAGTACAGCGTTTGTAGCCTGCGGACAAGCTAGATGTAAAGGTTGTTCTAAGATAACCTAAGATGTTAGTTCTTATAAATAAGTAAGCAAGGTAGAATAAAGTGTTACAACCTAGAGTTAAAACGCTAATAACTACGCCGCAACTGCGCTACACAACTTAGAACTAGAATAATAATTCTCTAAGGTAATAATTATTAGTAGTTATATAACTAATTACGCTACTAAGAGTTATTACTTACTTTACTAAGAACTGTTACTAGAAGTAATTATAACTATTATAACTACTACTAGAAAGTTATATTTACTATTATTAGAAGCTACTATAACTACTATATAAGTATATAGCTTAGACACTATACCTCTATAGTTTAGTATATTTAACTTTATATAAAACTTTAGTATTTAATCTAAGAATTAAACTTTTTTCTATAAAACTCTTATAATATTATATTAATCTACTAATTATACTATTATACTTTTATACTATTATATTAATCTACTAATTATGCTAGTACACTACTTTTTTTTACTATACTTACTTATCTCTAAAAATAAACTTAAAAGATAACCTTAACATTTTAAACACTCTTAAGATAGGTAATAAAGAGATAGATACCTTTACTACTTTCTATACTACTAGAGCTTCTAATAAAAGTAATAAGTCTAATACTTATAATAGTAACTAAAAGTAGCTTAAGTACTAGCTACTCTAGGTAGACTAATACTTCTACTTTAAAGGTAATAAGATTAAAAGCAATAACTAAGTTATCTAAACTACTTCTTTCTTATAAAAAAAACGCTAAGAAGTAAACTATACCTTTTATTTAATAATATATAGATAAGAATAATAATAATATAGATATTAAGATTTTAGTTAAAAACTAGAACACCTCTATTACAAACCTAAAGACGAGAAGGCACTTAACTATGTATAAAGAATAATAGCACAAAGAGACCCTAGATAACCTAGATAAAGGGTAGGCCTTTGTCTACTAATAGATAACGCTACCCTGCAGTAGTTACGTAGTTCTATAAGGCTTAGCGGAAATCCTTTATAAGATAAGTTATATGCGTTCTATAATATATTATAATACATTATAGTATACTACGCATAAAATAACGTAAGATAATATAGAACTTATAGGACACTATAACTCTTATTAAGTATATAGCTTAGATACTGCACCTCTATAGTTTAGTATGTTTAACTTTATATAAGACTCTAGTATTTAATCTAAGAATTATACTTCTTTCTTAAACCTCTTATAATATTATATTATTCTACTAAACGTGCTATTACACTCTTGTACTATTATATTAATCTACTAATTGTGCTAGTACACCCTACTATCTAACGCACTTACTTATTCCTAAGAACTAACATCTTAGGTTATTCTAGAATAACCTTTACACTTTGAACACCCTTAAGATAAGTAATACTATAATAGACACCCCCTCTAATTCTTACGTCTCTAGAGCCCTAGTTTAAGGCAATAAGCCTAACACCTATTATAGTAATCGCAGCAAGCTTAAAGCATAGCTACTCTAGTTAGACTGTTACTTCCACCTTAAAGAAGAAAGAATTAAGAAAGACAACAAAGTTATCTTAGCTACTACTTATCTTAAAGAAGATGCTAAGAAGTAGGCTATTCTAATTATCTATTGTTATATAGATAACTCTATAAAAGACGCTAACAATGTCGCCCTAGTTAAGAACTAGGATGCCTTTAAGACAAAGATGCGCGAAGTTTTCTTACCCTTTTAAGAAATAGTAATCGCTAAGCAGAAAATCTAACAAGTGCGCTAGACGCGCTCTGCCGCTAATTACACTACTAAGTTTTAACAGTGCTAGGTAGCTATTAACTAGAACAATAACACTTTAATACAGATATACAAACAAGGTCTTAAGCTCTAGGTACAACAGAAACTTATAAGAAGTAGAGGACAAGTTACTACACTTTAGAAACTTATAAATAAAGCAATCTATATTAATAATAAACTCTATAGACTAAAGCTAGAAGAACGACTATTTGCGCAGGAAATGCGAGCACCTAGGAATACAAACACAAATAACTAAGCGCGTTAGCTGCCTCGCTGTTTATACCCTAACTAAGGACGTTAACAAAGCTACGTACCTAGAATTCTAGGATTATACGCTATAAATAGCTATAAGCCTATGCACCTTAACAATATTAACAAGGGACCTAGAAAACTAAAGTTTTACGACAAGAAGCATAAGAATAAGAAGTTCAACTACTATGCCTATAGCAAGAAGGGTTATATAGCACAGGACTGCAAGAGCTAAGGCAAGGTAGTATAATAGCTAAATATTCTACAACCTACAGTACCTAACAACTAGAGAGAGACATAGAAAATAACTGTCTACTTATCTTAAGGTTAACTAAGGAGTATAACTAGCAGAATAAGTAATATGTCTATTATAACCCCTAATAAAACTACCTAGGAAGACCTCTCTTCTAAGGAATATAAAACCTCCAAAGACAGATCTAAGAAATACATAGTAGCTACAGAAATTAACAAAACTAAGTTTAGTAAAATAGACCTGTTTAAGAGTAATAATAGGCTATCTACACCCTATGTTTAAAAGGACTAGATGCTCTAACTCTTGTTACACATTAACTAGTTACTGCAATACCTTAATAAGCCTAATATTAAGTACCTGTATAAGACTCTAGACATTATAGCTACTATGCAAGAGGACTTCTACTACCTCTTACAACAAGCAATAGAGGACAAAGAAAATCTTCCACTAAACATCCTTAAATTCATCCCTAGCCTAGAGCAGCTAGACTAGATTAATTAAGCTATTAAGAGCTACAAGAACTCTACAACTAGCAACTACAAAGTTACTATTAAGTGTCTAGAAGAACTAGAATTCTAGGTTAATACGCTACTTGCGTACCTACAGAGACCCCTAAAGGAATTCTTAGAGTCTAAGAACTTCTTTAACAAATATAAAAAGTTTAATAAATACTAAGATCTTCTAGAAGAACTAAAGACTATAGAATATAACGCAGAAGCAATATGTAAGTAGACTATAGATGCTATAGTATTATAGAAAGAACCTGCTATACAGCAGCTCTCTAAAGTAGAAGAAGAGAAAATGTAATTAGCACCTCTAAAGAAGAAGAATTAACTCGCTAACAAGAAAGTTACTAAAATTAATTACTAGATAGACTACTAAAACCCCTCCTACATAAAAATGTTATAGACAGCGTATTTTATAGACTTCTGTTCTATCTACTACTTAGACAAATAAGAAGCAGAATAGAACCTCTAGAAGGATCGCCTAGCCCTAAAGTACTAATAGCACTAGTTCGAGTGCTGTAAGAATACTTGTCTAGTCTATCTATAGAATAAGCGAACTGCCTTCTATTTTTCTAGATATGTAGACCCTTAAGAAATCCTTTAAATGTAGATAGTAGAAGAAAGAATTATTAAAGGAGAACTAGCACTAGAGTGTAACTAAGAGAAATAGCACACTTATCTACACTCTAACTACAATAAGCATATAATTGCTAAAGATTTCTATAGATTTAGAAAGGCTTTTTTAGACTAAGACTCCTAGTAGAAGAAGCTAGTAAGAAGATTAACAGTATAAACTCCTTAGCACTTATTAGGCTTCTAGTAAAGCTTAATAGAGTATAAATGTAGGCATTTATAGATTTAGAATCCTAAGAGAGCTATATCTCTGTATAAGTAGTATTTCTAGCTAAGCTAAGGCTGCTATAAAAGAAAGAAAGCTACCTACTACATATTACTAACGGGCAACTAATACTAGGTAAAACAAACATTACCTACAAGGTTACAGGAGTGACGCTTAGCATTAAAGAATATTAGAAGAAGCTAGACCTAGACGTCTTTAGATTAGCTACCTATAATATTATATTAAGACTACTCTAGTTACAAGAACACAACCTACAAATTAACTAGAAGTTAAAAGAATTCTTGTTTAACTGCTATAGATAAGACGCAACTATAAGCATACCTACGCATTATACAAAGCTAATAGTAGATAAGAGAGAGATTAACCTAATTGCGAAGAAGTAATAGACCTCGCACAAGAATATTCTTAAGCAATAAGAGTTTAGCTTAATAAATACAAGAAAAGAATTACCTAATTACAAAGTTAGAGTTTTAGAGAAACGCGTAACTCTAAGTATTCTAAAAGAGTACAAAGAATTTAAACATCTCTTTACAAAAGCAGTAAACAGTAACGCTCTACTAAAGCACTAGAACTAGGATCACAAGATTGTCCTAGAGGAAGGAAAGAAACCTACCTTTAGACTAATCTACTAGTTATTAGAAATAGAACTCTAAATACTAAA